TTGGAAGACACGTTATCTTTATTTTGTACATCAAGAAGAGGGGCTAGGGAAGGGTAAGTGGAAGGAGGTGAGGGAGGAATGGGGCACGAGCCCCCGATGGGGAGGACTGGGCTGGCTCTGTGGGCTTCTGGGGGTGGAACCTCTCCTGCAGCCCCCCAATTGCCCCTTCTCCCCAGATGGCAGCCTGTGGCAAGTGCAGCCAGGCTGGTGGCCGAGTGGTGTGATGTGCCTAGTGTGGGTAGTCCGGGCAATCCAAGCCAGGACTTCTTTGCAAGCAGGGCACCCCTGAGAACTGTCTGTCCGGGGTGGGGGTCGGTGCCCTTTAAGCACAGCCCTCGGCTAGCCTGAGAAAGCATCTCCATGCTCTAAGTTCTTCTCTGATGCCCTGCCGGCACTGCTTCCGGCCATCCTTAAGCCTGGTTCAGGGTCCACTTAATGTGGACATGCTAGTTTGAATTAGCAAAATGCTAATTCGAACTAGTTTTTTAGTCTGGATCCGTTAGTTCGAATTAGCTTAGTTCGAATTAACTAATTCGAACTAAGTTAGTTCGAATTAACGTTGTAGTGTAGACATACCCTGGGAGAACTCCTGGCTGTCACTCCGGCTGTAACCTGGGCCTCATCTTTGACTTTCTTCCACAAGCTCAGTGTCAGGAATCAGACCCATGGCAGAACCACTCTCCCAACACAAGCACAGCGGGCCTGTAACAGGCAGCCTGATTGGCTACCTCACCTGACTGTCTGGAAGAATCAGCTAGGAGACTGAGTTCTAAAACCAGCAGCAGATCAGTGACTGCTCAAAGCATTCACCCATAGTTGTGACAGCTCCTAGCCCTGCTCCTGTTTCAGCTCACTCTAGGTAACCAAGTTATGAACAATGGGTCTGATTCCTGACTTCCTAAGTTTAGCTCTGATTGTTGGCTCTGGCACTTGGGAACTCAAGCATACCTGCAGTCTGCCAAACAACTACACCAACACCAAGCAGATCAAGACCATCAGGTTGCTACTAATCTGGTCACAGAGGACGAATATGTGGCTCCTGGCCAGAAAATAGGTAAAGGCTTCCTTCCATCATCCTTTTTCAAAATATGTTTTCTGTGTAGTGACAGTATAAAATGTAGAAAAAACATATTTATAGGGGGAACTGGAGTCAATATTTCATGAGCATTTAGTTACCATTTTAATCAGATAATTAATTTGCATATTATAGTCTTGACATCCGTTTTAGACTGGGAAAAGCTCTCCACCAAGAATCAGGTGCAGACATAAGTGTAAGCAACTGATTTTGCCTTTTGATCCAGCAGACAATACTAAATATATGTTCATCTTGGTGAGGAAACACAAACAGAACAAGACTCGGGACTAACTCCGGACAGACCATTGTCAGTCCGCACCCCGAGTCCACTAAAGCCTGTCGCGGCACCCCTTCCACCCATATTTGGGTGGTTACTCTAGCTCGTGGGTCGCGACAAGGGGGCACTCCCAAAGAGACCCCTTGCCAGAATGAGCAATCCATGAAGGGGCATTTGCGCTTGAAATGTCCCTCCTGTCCACACTCATAACACCGGGGCCGGGGGATCGTAGCTTCCCCCGTCCCTGTGCCAGCTGCCTCTGGTCGATGTACCCCTCCACCTGTATTTGCTGGGAGTCCCTCCTTTCCTATTTCGGGCCTGCTTCTGGCCACCCCTCGACCTAGGCCCCAAGTGCCCTCTCCACTGGAGCTAATTCCCCTTTCAGGACATCCTCGGCCCTTCGGCAGTCGGTCCGTCCCACCCTCTCTGTCCCCTCTCCCGGGGCCTCCGGGCGTCTCGGCCGCCACGTAGTTCTCCATCAAGGCGACCGCGTCCGTTAGGCCTTGGGGGCAATGCCTGCGCACCCATTGCTGGGCCCCCGGGGGAAGAATCTGCAAAAACTGTTCTAATGCCACGATGTTGGTTATCTGAGCGCTCTCTCGCTTCTCTGGTCCCAACCATCTCCATGCCAGCTCTTTTACCTTTTGTGCCATGGCCCGAGGTCGGGCCCCCTGGGGGTATCGCTCAGCTCTAAACCGCTGGCTGTATGTTTCAGGGTTCACCCCCATCTGGTCTAATATGGCCTCTTTGACCTTATAATATTTCAAGGCCTCCTGGGGGCTTAAGCTCTGGTAGGCTAGTTGCGCCGGTCCCGTGAGATAGGGGCTAGCAGTGTGGCCCAGTGGTCCTCGGGCCACCGGGCCGCTAAGGCCACTCTTTCGAAGGTCACCAAGTACGCTTCGGGGTCATCCAGCGGTCCCATCTTAGTTAGCCTAATTGGTAATTGGTCACTCCCCCAAGTCCCTCCTCCCTATCCCCGACAGGCCCGGCCCTGATTCCCTGGCTTACCCCTTTTTGCAGCCACCGTTCCTGTTGCTGAGTCATTTCCCTCACCAGCTGGCGCTGCTGTTCTTGGCCTTGTGCGGCCAGTTGCTGTAACAACTGCACCTGATGCTGTTGTTGGAGCAGCTGTTGCTCCTTGAGCCACTCAAACATTTGTGTTGGGTCCATGACAGCAGCTTTCCTCCGCTTCTCTTGCGGACGGCGCCTTCTACCCCTTGTGGGATTCCCTGCCGTCCCGTGCCCGGTTGGGGTTAATCGACAACAACCAGTCTCTCTCTTCCCCTTTTTTTGGGGGGGAGGGGATCACCCCCTTTTAGTCTAGGGGTTCACTGCCCACATTCTCCACCACCTGTAATGATCCCGGCCCCTTCCCCGGGGTGAGGGGATGTTATCTTGCACTGCTTCGTCTCTCGGGCGTTTCCCCGGTACCTGACCGGGGCGGAGGGGGACCTGGGCCCACCCCCTCTCCAGGTTCCAGCCCAGGACCTTAAGGGAGTGCGTATGAGACGTGCTGCCCGACCGGAGGGGCTACGGCCGCAACGCACCAGTCCCCGGGGTTCCTACCCCGTCCTGGGCTACTTCCTCCGCCCTCTTAGGTCTGCCAGTCCTGGTCTGGTACAGCGGGGTCTCAGGGTTGACTCACCCACTCCAGTCCTAGGGCGCTCGGTCATCGGTCTTGGTCCGTGCAACAGTCCTGCCGCCCCGCCGCCGTCTGGCGCGAGTCTCCGCGCCCCGCTTGCCGGGGCTCCGTCCCTTTGATCCTCTCCCTTTGTGTCCTGGCCGCCCGGCTTTTAAACCTGGCGCCCCTGCTCAGGGATGCCGGCGCCTGCGCCCTGCGGGAGGGGCCGGGTGTGTGCGTGGACAGCCCCTCCGGGCGAAGACTCCTGCGCCTGCGCCGGCCGCCGTCCCTGGGCCGGCGCATTAGAGCCGCTCGGGCATCCCCGCAGCGATTTCCCACGGCGCCCCTGGCGCAGGGCGCAGGGTTGGGGCTTGCGATCCCCGCCGCCCTGCCCCCGCCTACGCCGGCAGCTGCCGCCGAACAAGCGTGGCAGAGCTGCTCAAGCGTTTCGGCGCCTGTCTCCCGCGGCGCCCCAGTCCCTAAAAAAGGCCCCCTAAATCTATATTCACATACCTAAATCAGTAGCCTGATTTTCCAAGACACTCACCATCTACCATGCTCACTGAAGTTTTTGGCAATTAGAACATTTATTAGTACACGCGCAAATATAGCTTACATGTGGCTAGTGTTAAATTAAAAATTTGACATTAGCCTACAGCAAGTGCACTCTGCCAACCCTTGTGTCATCTGATGGGCCCTGGTTGACTTTTCTCATTTTAGGGTACAAAAGACCAATCCTAAAACACATTCTGGACTTTTTGAGAGGCACTAAAATCACTGGTACCAGCAGCCATGCAACTAAACAGAGAGGTGGGGGCCCACCAGGAATTAACCCTGGTGGACCAGATTCGGGAGCTGCGACTGCCTGTACCCTGCACACTCCTAACCAATGTGTAGGGCTCTTCACACGAGCAAATAAAGTACAAGAAGAAGTTGAAGCTAGACAAACTCATAGTAGAAATAAGGCACTTTCTTCTCCTCTTCCATGTCAGTGCTTTTCAAAAAGGTAACTTCCATAACTCTGTAGCCAAAGTAAATCTAAGGAGCTGGACAGAAATAATGGCTGCATTTGTTGTCTTTTTAAGATTGGCAGGGCGGGGGGGTTAAATCATACACAAATATATAATTAAGTTTTTAATTTAGCAAGTTCCTGGCCTACATATATGACATAAGGAGTCAACAGCTTATCACAAATATTCTCATAGAACCCTTTTTGCAGTCCTACCTATGAATTAAACAGGAACTGGTGATAGTACAGTCTCTGGCACACATGCTATGGCCAAATAGCATGGAGTACTGCTGTCAATTTACCTTCACACATTTTCCCTTCACCACTGTAACCTAGCTTGCACATGCACTTGTATAGCTTTGGAATGTTTTGACAAATAGCATCTGGAGGACAGTCATCAGTCCCTTGGCACACACATCCACATCTGTAAAAAAAAAAAAACCAGATTCATGACAGTCATCAGTCCCTTGGCACTCTCATCCACATCTGTAAAAAAAAAAACCAGATTCAGGAGAAATGTCAGAGAGTGCATGAGAATGTTTGGTTGCTTGCTGAATAGCCATGTGTGTGTGCGCATGTGCATGCTCACATGCATGTTCAAGATACACACACAGACATGCTACATGATGGTCATATATGTGGATGTGTGCATGCTAGCCTAAGTGTGCATGATTGTGTATGTGCATATATTTGCACAAATATCTACATTTATACATAATGGGCAGATCTTCAGGTAGTATTATTTGGCATAACTCCATGTACTTACACTGATTAACAGCAGATGATTCTGTGTATGGAACTAAGAATCAGATACACAGACAGAATTAATCTATAGACACCCCCCACTCCAAAAAAAAAACGCAACCAGTAATTGGGAAGCATGACATTCTTCAACAAAAAGGTCCAACAAAAATTGAACACTTGATCTATCAAGAGTTTCAAAATCACAACCCCAGACCCATTAAACTTTTATGTACCATTAAACAGATGGTTATTCACATGTTTTTTATTGCTCCCAAATTAGCTTTTTTAAATAAAAAATGAAAGTCTGCTGAGCAATGTTGCTGAAACACACAGCAGGCAGTCGCCTTTCAAGCAGCACATAGTGTACATAGTTAAAGCATTTGGCTGGAAACTTCAGTGCAGGAGCAGTGAGGAATGAGGAAAAAAAGCAGCAAAATGAAGGAGCTATAGACAGACATCAGAGAAGAATGACAGGGAGAGAAAGGCATCATCAGAAAGGGAGCTTCTAGGGCAATTGAAAAGGATGAAAATCAGCACAAACAGAATGAGGTCCCATGAATGATCAAGGGGAAGGAGATCAGCAGAAAAGGCAAATCAGAAGGCTAGATTGGTAGGAAAGGAAATCCTAGGCAGGAAGGATTTGAGACTGCAGGCAAATCAGCAGAGTGAAGGTCCTTCTTCTGGAGTCTTAATACTGTATTTAGGTGCCCAAGCTTCCATCCACCCCAATTGGACCATGTTGTAACAGAGAGATTATAAATGGAAGATAAGGTGTTCCATGAGACAATCACATGGATAACCTCTTTCTTCCACATATTATCACCTACCATTCCATAACAACTACAGCAGTTACTTATAAGGAAGAATATTAATACAGTTTTAGTTTCTCTGACTGCATTTTAGAAGCAGGGAACAAGACAACAGACTAACATCATGTAACCAAGCAACTCAAGTAGCCTATGATCAGCCTACTGAGCCTCAGACTACGTCTATACTACGAGTTTCCTTGGCAAAAAATGTGCTAATGAGGGACTCATTTGCAAGAATTGCGATCTCATTTGCATATTTTCTGCCAATCCGTTTTTCCGCTGGGGTTTTTGCTCAAAAACAAGCAGTGTGGACGTTTCCTTTTTGTGCAAAAACCCCTTTTTCCACACAGATCTTTTTTTTCCGAGAAAACTCGTAGTATAAACATTGCCTCAGTGACCCACTGAACAGAGATCGCACATCTTTGGACTAGATAATAGTGATGGATGTCTTACCAAATACCTCTGATCCAGATCATCAGGAAATGAGAGAAAGACCAATGCTGGAGTGGCAAGATTACCATAAGGTAGGATCTTGGGATAAGATAAGGAAAACCATTTTAACAGGAGTTTTTTATTCTTAGTAGCTGTCAGCAAAGAAGGTTCTGGAGACAAGAGCAATTACCAGTCTACCTTCAATTTGATATGGGTATATGTAGGACTGAAAAAGAACACTGGCATAGGACACAAGAAATTAGTGGTCAACAAACCTTAAATGTGTAAAAATAAAGCTCATGCATCTCAAAGTAACTACTACCACACTTCTCATCCATACATCTGCATGCTGGGGTGTTTGTAGATGTGCCTGTCCATTGCAAGCACTGTTACAGAGAGGACACACTTAAGAGTGTTTTTATTTCAAAACAGATACTGTGCCTTGTACATAATGCCTTGTACATACTGGTTATGGGGCATTAAGGGGGATTTATTGTTATGTATTCCTTTGATCTCCAGAATATACATGAAGAACAGGTAGCATTAATGTATGTTGCAGAATGGAAGCCAATTTATTGTACACATAGGCTGAGATTTCTGCTGCTGAAGGTAGTCACAGCTGGAAAGAGAGGTTTTGGGTAAGGAAATAAAGAGCAATCACTGAAATCTCAAATTGGCAGCAAAAGTTTGGAGGGAGAAGATGAATGAAAAATTATTAGGCTTATTCTACATTTAATAGAACACAGTTTATACTGTGATGCATCAACCTTGTACTTCTAAAATTTTTAAAAAACACTAAACATCTGTTTGCTATATGAAGTCCTCCAATGGGGAAACAAAAATTTTAAATAATCTCCACCTTCAAAATAAAAGTTGTCACAAATATTTACCACTGCCCATATTACAAACCAACTAAAGCAATCTAATGGGTGCAGCGTTTTACGTTTCACATTTTAATTCAGTTAAATTATTTTTCATTTCATATTCTCTTATTTGAAAAATGCCAGCTGGTGCTGTAGAACTACTGTATTCATCTTGGTCAGGACTTGTCCAGCTCCCTATTGAGAAATTAGCATGTTTTAAAAAATAAACCCCGTGTGTTTCACAACTTTCACAACGCAAACGAAAACAGAAAATAATAATAGGGAAGTGCAGCTGCGTATCTGAGCTCTCCCCATCTTTCTATAATAATAATAATTAATGGAGATTGCCTATCTCCTAGAACTGGAAGGGACCTTGAAAGGTCATGGAGTCCAGTCCCCTGCCTTCACAGCAGGAGCAAGTACCATCCCTGACAAATTTTTGCCCCAAATCCCTAGACGGCCTCCTCAAGGATTGAACTCAGAACCCTGGGTTTAGCAGGCCAATGGATGCTTTAGAGCTGGAGGTGGGTTCGAGCTCATTTCTAATAAAATAACTAAATAAATTGAAAGCACGGGAAAAGCACGTGTAACTTTAGAGAGACAAGGTGGCTAAGGAGGCAACCCCATTTTTATTGAACCCACGCCATTCCCCACAACACAACACATCTCTGAAGATCCATGGATCCTACACATGGCCACTAATTGGTGTCTCTAAGCCAGGGCACTGTGCCCGAGGGTGGGCTGGAGAGTGAGGTTTCACCCCCGTGTCTCTAACACTCTCGGGCTGGCGGCTGCAAGCACGGTGCCTGCGAGTGTCACTCAGACATGGGCGCGGCCTTGCCGAGTCGCTGGGACGGCTCCGCACAGGCTGAAAGCTGCGCACGTGCCGAAGTGCCTGCCGGACCAAACCGCTGTTAACAAACACACGTCAGCAGTGCTGCCCCGAGCACCGGCTCTGACTTTAA